AAGCATGTGGTGTTTCACGACGGTCTTAAGCAAAAATACTTGGAAAGACACTTCAGTGAAGTGCGCGGTCGCACACGTTACTCAATCTGGCTCACACGAATTGGACTTCTTTGGTTTTTTGTGAAGGTCGCCTGGGTGCGCTGTACATGAGTGAGTGACTGCTAGTGCGCCCGCAAGCTCTTAACGCAACCGTCTAAAGTATGCCAAAACACAGGCAGTTGGACATGCTAAATTACGGTTATATATCGAAGGAGATGACGCGCGCAATGTCGAGCAGTACGAAGAAACGCTCATCAGACGCAACTGATGTGATTTACTTCTTGGAGGCTAGGTTTGGTACGACTAAAGAGAAACCGCAGCAAGCAGAAGAAGCTAAGCAGGACACCAAGCGAGTCTGAATCTTCTTTGAGCTAGACAAGCTCACCACATCATTGTGTGCAACAAATTGTTGCACTTAGTTATGCTTGTATTGTTGCCAGCAATACAAGCATAACTAAGTGCTTCAATGATTGGTCGGCTTGAAACGAAGGTGAAGTGGGAGGGGGGGGGGGCTATGTGAAGATCATCGAAGAGATGGATGCGTCCCAAAGTACTACCTAAGACTAGTCATTGATAAAAAAGGTCGGTAGCGATTCTTCGTCTTAATCTCTCTCAGCCGCTGCACTATCCATGATAAGGTTTGTATCGTCTTTTTTGCTAGTGTTTCTGGCGCATGACCTGCAGTGATACAAGAGAATTATCATGTTGCTTGACAATTCCTTCCCTGGTACCCTCTGCTACAATGTCATACGACCCACATTTACCAAGGAAATGGTTTCACAAAAAACGGCAAACACACGGCATTTTGCATGGTATCTTTCCAAAACCATCGGCAATGGGCGCTCAATCTTCGACTAACAAACCGAAGGACATCTCGATGCAAAATATACTTACGAGTGGGAGAAGCTGTACCCATATCAATAACCGTATGTTGTTTCCACACGCTTAAATGGTGCCAGCATGTGTGTATCACACGCATACGCATTATCTCCAATAAGACAAAAAAACATGTTCCAGTCCACTTAAATTGCCTATACAAGGCACTCTGCCAAAATGCTCTGCTGTCGTAACAGCTCCAGATGAGCCACATTAATTTAGGTGAAGTGACAACGATAGACGCAACACGCCAGAACATTCACGCCGTAGTATCAGTATTGCCTGCTATGATAGCGCAGAGAGCCGGCACCACCCGCCTTCCTTTGTCGAAGAGCTCTGATGGAGAAAAGCCACCCATCCACACAGCCAAAGCAGCCTGAAAATGTTCATTCTGCGCTCAGCGGTTTTAAAGATGTCGCTGCCGCTGGCTGAACTGAAGAGCTTCAGTCTTAACTATACTACGTCGCAAATGGCATCTACGATGAGCCAGATAACTCGATAGAATGAAGCCCTACTCGCACCGTCAATGCAGCGAATGTCGTGCATTGAGTCGTTAGCTATGTATTTATTCGTCAGTTGAAGTGTTTCGGTAGGTATTTAGTCGTGCCTCACCCATGCGTGGGACGAGCGAAACCGTTTTGGTGCGGTTACTCCTCCAGCCTTGCAAAAGCGGACGCTAACATGCGATAGCAGGCTTGAGCCTGACTCTAGCATAGCTGTACGTTAAGCTCACAGCTCCACCGAAGCTTGGCACGCACTCTTATGGGTGGGCGTGGACCCGGAAACAGTGCTGACAGCAGCAAACCGACCGCTATGATCCCCACTTCAGTCTGCATTGCAACGCCAATGTTCGAATCAAGCCAAACACCGAACGAGTTTCTGTTTGGTGTTGCAAATTGCAATATCTGTACATGGACAGGGGTCACGCGTACTATCTGTCGTATCCCCAAATCTTGTCCCGCTGTTCGGGATAATATAGAACTCGAGCTTATAACATTAAATCTTCCAGAACAAATTTTCCTCGTCTTGACCGTACGCTTTCTCGCAGGGTAAATCCGATGCTGTAGGATGTGGGTCCAAAGGGTGACGTAGCCTGTGGAAATGGGACCCCCACCGTCATCACGATGGAAGCACGAAATATACACTGCTCCCAGAGAACCGCCTATTTTTAAATAGATATCGCACTGCATCTACCGGTCTCTTGATGTTACCAGTACAGCCCTCGGCTCCGAGTTTATGCTAGCAGCTTTTAGAAGTGGGGTCAGCAGCTGCAACCGGGACGGGAAATGGGTTACTATGTGCAGCTGGAAGGAGGTCTGCCAGCGACACTAGCACTTTGGTTACACAAATGATTATCTCTATCGTTGTAATACATCGAACGTTTACCATGCCGGTTGTGCAACAGAAGCAGAGTGAAGCGCAATTGGAAGAGCATCTGACCCGCTGATGGTGCTCAAGGACAAAAAAAAACGCGGACATAGTACGCAATAGTAGGCAATGAAGTCTACGGCGTGGTGACCACAAGAAAAAAATAGACATAAAAATTTCAGCTAGCGTTTTAAGCTTTAAAAAAACATTTTCTTGATCTTCTAGCATTTGTTAAGAGCGCGGAAGACTATCCGCTTCCGTTTTATTTCGCAATTGCACAAAGCTAAAACGGTTTTGAGCCAGCTTGTTTGGTTCGAGACGATTTAAAGGCCCATACTTTTCAGCAACTCAAGTTTGTTCATAAAGAAGAGCTCTATAATGTAGTCCAAACGCTTATATGTGCGCAGCTCCGAAATAGTTTTTTTCGTCAACACCCCGTTTTGTTTACACGGAATGCACCGTCTTTTACTAGAATTGTTTAAGGGCCTTATCTTAAATTTAAGGGATTCCAGCTAGCACAAATGCCCGAGTAATATCCTTTCGTTGAAGTGGGGTTGTCTTGCGGGTACCGTGCATGCATGCATCGGTTGCAAGTTTGCAGGCTTAAAAAGTCTACAATTCAGTTATAATTTTCCGATGGTTCTCGCTCGCTGTGTAAACGACTTCGTTTCGTAAACTAGCAGCATTTGCTTGAAGATAGTAAGAGCTACAATGGGTAATGCAATAGATGCTACCTCCGGCTGTGGCTGGAGGTGTGCATTTCAGGCCATTGCGGTTCTCCTGTCCGAATTTCCATCGTGAAGTAGAACTGACCATGGTCAGCAAATAAAACGCCAGAGAGAGATCTCGCACCCGGATCGCCATTCCGCCGGAGCATGCTCTGTAAAGCGTCGCAGCGCTGCACCGTGATAAGCAAGACCGACAGGCGGATCGAACCGACGTCGTGCTCTTGCCGCGCGACGACTCGGACGACAAGGCATGAATCATTCTTACCTGAACTCGGATGAAGCGAGCATCCACGTCATTACCCATGTCGGGCCGTTTGAGCTTGGGCTGCTTTGGGGAGTGCTGGTCAACCATGCCACCGTGAACTGGAGCACGGGTCGCCACAAAAGTGTGCTTATGGTGACAAAGCCGCCCTGTTCATGTTACTGACTGTTCTGAAGAACCGCGGTAAGTGGGACATTGTGACAGCAGTCTTCCGGATCAAGACACTATCATTCTAGAGATGATGGTAAGTTTGAATTGGTCATTGTTCCGTTTCTATTTGAAACCATGGTCGCTTCTGTGCTAGACAAGCTCATCATGAAAAGGCTAGTCCTTAGAGACCAGGCGCCCGCAAATTACCCGAACGCGCGATACGCCTCGGATGAAGCCTCTTAACAAGTGAATATATCTGCCGGTCGGATGCAGGAACGAGCTCTTTACTACAGTTATTTACATTACTACAAGGCTGAGGAGTCAGTACTATCTGGCGGCCAAGACATATACTGTACTCGGTAATACAACAGAAATCGACAGTTTCCATGATGGCACGGAGTGCGACCTGCAAGGCCTCCGGAAAGCCGAAAGAGACGACAAAATTGAAGATGGCGGTCGGGTCACAACTACGATGTCTGCTTCCAAGCATGTGTGGCACAGACAACTTCCACATTCGCTCCAGCCCTCTTCGCCGTGAGGACGGAGAAACCTAACACGCTATTTGCAGCGCCTGTGATAGTACTCGAAAGGAGCAGAGAGGCTTAGCAGCGCTATCGCGAAGCCGTCGCCGCCGAATAATTATGCAGTTTGCCGTACATCGTGAACGGGTTGATCGGTCTCCTCCTCGAAGCTTGCACCGAAAATCTCCTGGTGTTTATATGGTAGCCATCGTCCTACCCGTCGGCGTACTCGCCGTCGCCCTGGGGCATCATCTGTGGTCGCCTCTCGGATGGACTTCAGCTTGTCTTCGGACGAGATGGGACTACCTGGGAGCCCTTCTGTAGCATGCGTTTGCCGGTAGTAGTATTATGCTGACTGCTAGTAATATTTAGTCGATGGCGGAAAACCTACCAGTCAAGGAGAAGAGTGACCGATCTCGTGCTTTGAGCCAGTGCTTGTATAGCTCTCCACGTTTGTTTTTCTCTATAACTCAATTTTGTTTTGCATGCAAGCATTTTCGTTTTGGCCTGATCGATGGCTTGTACTTCTCGCATAAGCTTGGTAACTAATTTAAAATCTAATGAAAGGCTGAAACTGATTTTTTTTGTTGCGGTGGCATGCTACGTATACGTAAATGTGCTTCATTCTGTATCCATCGTGCCTAGCGAGCAGTGATGGGCAAATATGTATTGCAGGTATTGGAATTGCGCAACACCATTAGAAATGCCGTATTGCTGACACACCCTAGAATGACAAAACGCGATGTAGCATATTGCCGTACTTATTTTCTGATTTCACGAGGGGGGAGGGGGGGGCTTTGGAGGGTCCTCATTCGGAGGGCCCTCTTAGAAGAGATGCAGCCAAGAGCCTAAAGACGGGATTTGGAATGATATCACTTTTTGTTTTAAAAATATTTCTTTTCTCCCCATCGGTAGGATAGGTAGGATCCGGTAGACTCAACTTTAAAATAAAGTTTGGTCATATAAGGAATTGACATCGAAAATGAAACGGACGTCCTTAAAGCCTAGATAGCAATGTGCTTTCATTTTTTCCGCTCTTAATTTGCCAAAGAGAAGATGACAAAACTAGGTTGGTAATCGCGTATGTGGTAAAAGCAAGAACCACATCAGCAAAAACTGGTATCATCCTTCGAGTGCTAAAAGAAAACAGACAACACACACGAGGTACAATGGTCTACTGGTGAGGTATATATCGTGTCTGCAATCTCTTTTTCCTTTAACTTGGCTTATTAATGGATATTGACACCGAGAAATCCGGCGGTGAAACAACCTTTGTGCAGCTTCTGGGGGCGAAGACACGGCTTACCAAGACTTATTGGAGTACGAATTCTCTTCTAGGGATGGCAACGAGGAAGACGATGAAGACACAGACTCAGAGGAACAACTGGAGGAAAGGAAGACAGCACAGTCGTGGCTCACGTCCGCCTGTGGGTACCGCTTGGTAGAGTCATGGTTGACTCAGCTTGGCAGCGTTCGGCTCGTACAACAACATTTTTCTAGCTGGCACATCTTCAACTTGGAGTGCGGTCGCTAGTGAAGTATTTCTACCTAATGTACCCAATAGGAGCTTTGCAAGAAACTATTCGACTGACCAACATTAATTTAGCGATGAATTCATTTCGTACCATTGGATCTACGAAGACCGCGATTGTGAATATTTGGTCGTCAACAAGGTAGGCTACCAGTGCGCTACACGATACTGCGAGCGTAAAAACGGACTGTAAAGTTTAGTTTGGTGGACAATTGTTCTCAGCTCGCATGGCTTTCTCTCTGTTCAACGTTGTGGCTTGGCACGGAAACTACGTACCAGTACAATCTGGTTATATTTTATGGTACGTAGTTTCCGTGCCAAGCCACAACGTTTTATTCGCCTTGCAATGTAACTATCTCACCAGCTCATATTCAACGAGCATGTGATGAAGCGATCGCTGCAGTCTGGCTCGAGGACTCAGGGGGTCTTTTCGGGGTGTGCGGCCCGAGATCGCAGCGCACGTGCTTCAGAGAGCACATTGTTCTACCTTCAATTTGAACTTTCTTTTCACTAGCATATGCTTCTAAATACCAACTTTCATATTAAAATTACTTTATGCACGCCTCCTACTGTAGCTGGGGACAATTATTTTTTGGCAAAACGTGAGATCGTATTGCCGTACTCATTTTAAGCGTGATATCATTCCAAACCTCGTATTCAGGCTCATGGAGAAATGATGCCATCATGAGCCGAAATACGGGGGTTGGAATGATATCACGCTTTTGTAAAAAAAAAAACTTTAAAGAAATAACCTGCATACTTGTAGCAAGGATTTTCGGTTTATAGATCTGTTCGACTACACGTTGCATTGCTTCCGTTCGAGCAGTTTTGTATCCATTCGAATAGTCCTGCATCCGATAGTAGCGAACCTTACTAATGCAATAATCAATACGTGCGACTGGCCTTCGGAGAGAATGTTATGCTGTGCGAATGACTAGCAAACAATCTCCGAAAGCTGACGTGCAATTATTAACAAAATGGGCAGCTCAGGCATCGACTCGGCTTCCATCGGCAAATACTATCTACAATGTCCGCAATAAGAAAGATACCTCGTTCTGACAAAGATGTCTATAGCTATAAGAAGTTCATCGACCTTGTTGCTGAAGTAGTGGGCCGCGCGCAACTCGCCGAGGTTGACGCAATGGAGGAACTAATCTCGATGATAACGGACTACTCACTGATGTGCCGTGCAAAAATGTTCGTGAATGCTAAAGTTTAAAGCTACAATTGGGTGAGAGGTTGCCCCGAGTGCGGAAGGCGGAAGCCACGACCGCGAGAGGTCATCCCACCGATGCGATGCTTACAAGGATGTCGGCAGCCGCCGAGCGCCCGACATTGCAGGACTATTTCCGATTGCCGCAGGCGGAGAACGATACGTGATCGCGGTGGTCGAATACGTCACGCGATATGCAGTAGCGCGTAGCAGAGTGCAAAATACGGCTGAAAACGTGGCAATGATCATCATGGAAGCGGGAAGATAAAGTATGAGGGAGTTACTGACCGACGGAGTGCCCGGGTTGACCGGAAAGATCATTGAGCAACTAGTCTAGCTATAACAGACACGGCAAGTAAATCCGGTGCCCTATCGGCCCCAGATATTCGGTCTTGTTGAGCGTTTCCATAGAACGTGGAGGGACTGCGTGTCCACGCTCATGACGGGCGAGAATCAGAGCGATTGGAGTCAGTGGGTACCGTTCGCTGTGTAGGCGTACAACTCCGCGAGACACACGACTGTAGCCTTGTCAACGAACGAGCTGATGTTGGGGAGGCGGCTACGGTCACGTTACGAGTTGATGAGACGGAAGGGGCGGACGCTATCCAGCGAACGGATAGAGCACCATCAACAACTGCTGCGAATATTGGCTACAAGTCATGAATTTGCTGAGCGACACGTAGTAGAGAGCAAGAACTCCAAATTCTGGTCATTGAGATATACTACGCGTTCGACGGCAGCTTGGGAATACCGTGGCTAGCACGATAGCAACCGGAGATCAACTGGCTGGCCCGATCTGTCAAACGTCGAGGTAACTTTGGCGTCAGCGAGGTGTTCACACACTCGCTGGTCGCTCCGGATTGGCCTCACGTCCGAGTCGTGGACTTTTCTACCACGACGCACGCCTTACACAGAGTGGGCGATGGCTCTCTCTGGATGGTCTGTGACGTGCTGATTAATGATAGTGCGGTTGTTAATCGCACACTCTCGCGGTGTCGCGGCGACGACAACGAGGCGGTCTGGCGAAGGCGACTCCCGCATGTAATCGGCGCAGCTGATAGGGAATCTTCGCGCCTAGAAAAGGGCGATGACTCATCGTTTAGCGACACTTCATCCGCTAGCGACAACGACGCACCGACTTCGAACAGTGGCTCAAATCGTTCGAACAAGAGTTTGAAGCGCCGTCGTCTGAAGCCCCGTAACAGCATCGAGTCGAGCAACCCGTCGCAGAAAGAGTCCGTTTGCACACTCGAGTATGTCTAGGGTGGCCCATGCCAAACCCGAATGCTCGAAGTCGCGATCCTTCCTCGCGACGCAGCGGCAATTACGAAGTTATAAGGCTTTTTCTGGAAGAATTTCCTACGCGATCTCAAGACTGGCGACATCGAACAAGTGCGTTTGATCACCGACGCCGACGGTTAGTCGTGATCGCGAAACTCGATGACCGCGGAAGGGTATGGCTAGCCGGAAAATTAAGTTTGCGACCTCTGACCTTCACTATCTGGATTACTAACATGCTAACATGTGTGTATACTCAAAGTTTTCAATAACATACCGTAAATGTAGTATTTTGCTCTAATTCTTTTTGAGTCGGCCGGCTTAAACTGATCAACTCTATACCTGATCAAAACTTGATCTACGGACTGTATTAGCTAAGGCAGGTTTATCTGTAATAGCTTACCACCGACTTCATAATCACTGGGATTATGAAGGGCTGACCTTCACAATCGGCAGGTTTATGGCGGCGTTGTCAACTTGAAGGGGGCGGGGTCAAGAATCCACCAGTACTGATCTCATTCCTTAACCTGCTCAGCCCCAAGCACTTCGCTGAAAACGATATTGTGGTGTGCAGCGAGTATGGCCAGCAGTGACAACTGCCAACCACAAATCGTCGACGAAAATGTGAAGTCGGTCGTGGCACTTGGAGCGACTGAGCTGCACCAGCACGTGGCCTCACGTATGCGAGCAGCACTAGGGCGACCACTACCTCAAGTGGAAGTCCGTTTCGAGAACGTATCGATTTCCGCTAGCATCACCGTGAAAGACGAGGCCCAAGCTCAAACAGAGCTGCCGACCATCGCCAATGTGATCAAGCAGAGTGCTCGGCAGGTCGGGCTAGACGTCACGTCGTCAAGAAAAACATCCTTCGCAACGTCAGTGGCGTGTTTAAGCCAGGAACAATGACATTGATCCTCGGTCAACCTGGATCAGGCAAGTCGTCGCTCATGAAGCTATTAAGCGGGAGGTTCCCTGCTGGGAGGAACGTCTCAGTTGACGGTGATGTAACCTTCAACGGTCTCTCACGTGAGACGTTAATAAAAAGACTACCACAACTCGTTGCGTTTGTGCCTCAGAACGATAAACATCTGCCTTCATTGACGGCGAAGGAGACACTCGAGTTTGCGCATGCCTGTATTAATAATGGTGGAGGGCTGTCCAAGCGGGGCGCGGATGGTATTCGAGTGCACGTTGAGGGGTTTTCGAGTGCAGACATTTTTGCCACGAAATGGCGGAATGCCGAGTGCAGATAACACATGGCGATATCGTCGGCTCTATACTTGTCTTGTCCGGTCCATGCTTGTTTGAATTTACTACACTGTTTTTGGGGCCGGATGCAGAGCTCACCAGGATGTAAGAGGAGAAAAATACATGTATTTGTGAGAAGAAAACATGAATGAGCCTTGGATCCTGGTTCACTTCCTACACAAGGTACGCTGAGCTCCGCTAGTCCAGTCCTACGCTCACATGCTCAATGCCAACTGTCACTCCTGATCGTCTTAGCTGTCCAAGTCCTGATCGTCGTCGGCGTCACGGTCGACACTGCATGGATGCGATTCGTGTGTGCTTGCGTGGGCGGCAGCACTCTTCGTAACATCGAGGCCAGTACGTCTTGATTCTACGATCAGCTGCACCAATTCCTGGCACTCTAGGAAGACTTGCTTGCCTCCCTCGAAGTCGACAAGCCATCTATATCTACCACCCCGACTTGAGTAGGCTTGAATTGTGCCAATCATGCTGATGTCTTCCGCCTGCTTATCGTTGCTGCAACATGTAGCTTACATTAGCTACGTCTGAACTAATGAAGGCAGAGCCTTGACGCATCTTCTTCCGTGCTCAAGCCTTAACCTCAGCAGTGCACTCGGTCATTCCCTCAAGTTGAACAAGGGACACTCGGTTTCACACCTTTCGAACAAAAAACTAACGGTGCACTCGATTTCCTAAAAAAGGCACTCGAAAGTAATATCGTTCCACTGGCAACAAAGCCGCACATCCAGTATATAATTGATCCGAAGAGTAGCGTCTCCATCAGAACCACCGGGATCTGCTTGGCAGAGCTTGCGATCACGAACGAAGACGTCGATAGAAATTGGCTCCACGTTGTTTGTAGATCACATCACGCGTCGCCAGAATGCTAGGGATCATCGAAGACTTGGCCACGGATAAAGTGTCCACTGCGGTGTAGGCCAGACCCATGATGACATGGGAGTTCAACTCATCGAACTGATAGAACGCCGAACCAGACAGCAAACCAATGACCAAAGCCATGAATAATCGACTCAAGACCGCAGCGGAATCTTGGAAGAGAACTCTCAGCTCGCGAGCGATAATGGTGGCGGTCCCCGTCAAGAAGTTCTGCTGGAACTCAGGCGTGTGTTTGACGTAGAGTTCGTTGTCTTCAACCAAGTCCGAGCCTAAAGGAGAATGCAGATACTCCGTCATACGCTTGTGGATGTCTGACTTCTCAAAGGCGTCCGCAAACTGCCTTGCACATCTCGGAGCAGGGCCAGTCTCGTACTGACGATGCTTGTTCGTTCCAAGATCCATCAAGAAATCTGCCACGTCTCGGTTTGGAGGACAGTGGAAGCCCATGTCCTCAAAGTAACTCTGCACCTCGCAACGAGCTCCATGGTACATTACGTAACCTTTGTTGAGTAAAAGGACATCATCGAACAGCTCAAAGACCTCAGGAGACGGCTGCAGCAACGATATTACAATCGTCTTGTTGAATGTCTTGGCCAGACTGCGCTGTGTCGAGATGATATCGAACGTGGCGGCGCTGTCCAGACCTGTGCTGATCTCATCCATCATGAGCACGAACTTGTTGCCAAAGGCCATTTCGCCCGTTGTCACACGCTTCCGCTCGCCTCCAGAGACGCCGCGAAGCATGGTATCGCCGACCACAGTGCTTTGACAGTTCTCAAGACCAAGTTGACGGACGATAATGTCCGGGTGGTGTTTGTACATGGCACGAGCAGCAGCGAGTGCGTTTTCATTCTCCTCTTGTGTTCCATGCACAAGGTTTTTTTGGTCGCGCTTGGACGGAACGATATTACTTTCGAGTGCTTTTTTTTAGGAAATCGAGTGCACCGTTAGTTTTTTGTTTGAAAGGTGTGAAACCGAGTGTCCCTTGTTCAACTTGAGGGAATGACCGAGTGCACTGCTGAGGTTAAGGCTTGAGCACGGAAGAAGATGTGTCAAGGCTCTGCCTTCATTAGTTCAGACGTAGCTAATGTAAGCTACATGTTGTAGCAACGATAAGCAGGCGGAAGACATCAGCATGATTGGCACAATTCAAGCCTACTCAAGTCGGGGTGGTAGATATAGATGGCTTGTCGACTTCGAGGGAGGCAAGCAAGTCTTCCTAGAGTGCCAGGAATTGGTGCAGCTGATCGTAGAATCAAGACGTACTGGCCTCGATGTTACGAAGAGTGCTGCCGCCCACGCAAGCACACACGAATCGCATCCCCGCAGTGTCGACCGTGACGCCGACGACGATCAGGACTTGGACAGCTAAGACGATCAGGAGTGACAGTTGGCATTGAGCATGTGAGCGTAGGACTGGACTAGCGGAGCTCAGCGTACCTTGTGTAGGAAGTGAACCAGGATCCAAGGCTCATTCATGTTTTCTTCTCACAAATACATGTATTTTTCTCCTCTTACATCCTGGTGAGCTCTGCATCCGGCCCCAAAAACAGTGTAGTAAATTCAAACAAGCATGGACCGGACAAGACAAGTATAGAGCCGACGATATCGCCATGTGTTATCTGCACTCGGCATTCCGCCATTTCGTGGCAAAAATGTCTGCACTCGAAAACCCCTCAACGTGCACTCGAATACCATCCGCGCCCGTTGCCAGTGCACAGAGCTACATTCTGTACCAGGCAGTAATTTTCCTCGTAAATATGTCGTACTCTGCGTGGTTCTTCTTCATCGCGTCCGTGTGTCCGAACATCAACGTCGCCAACCCGATCGCATTGCTGTCGCTTCTGTTTCTGGCCACATTTTCGGGCTTTTTGATCACCAAGGATACGATTCCTGTATATCTGTCGTGGATCTACTGGATCAGTCCGCACGGCTGGGGCATTCACGCTGTTGCCGTGAACCAGTACCGAGACTCTCGGTTCGACGTGTGTGTTTATGAAGGACTGGACTATTGTGCGGAATACGGAATGCAGGTGGGGGAATACATGCTTAGTGCCCTCGGAGAAGTACTGGTTGTGGTTTGGTCTGGTTTTCCTAGCTGGCTCCTACGTTTTCTTTATGACTCTGTCGTGTCTGGCACTGGAATTCTGGCGCTACGAGACACCGAAGACCATTTCCCTCGACGTTGAGTCAGACAAGAGTGAGCAGTAGTGGGTCATGGAACATTACGCCGGCAGGTTTCTTACTTTCCGTAATTTACCTGCGAGACCAGTCCTGGAACGTTCTTTCGAGGCAGCTGCTATTTTGACGACGCAACCTTTCGACCACCTGAGAGCGAAAGCAACGTCTTTTCGATCTTAGGGTAGTTTCAGAACCGCTCAACCGGTGAGATCTAGAGAGAGGCAGACGATTCCATTTGGTCCTTTAACGACTACTAGATGTCTGTTTGATCCTAAGCCTGGCTAGCAACGCCGGTTCCAGGGCCTGGTCCGGTGGTTGTACGGGGCTCTTCTCCGTTGGAGACTTCTCTGTGGGTATTTTCTTCAGTTGTTGCAGGCATAGCAGAAGTCTTGTCCCACTTTCCAGCTTCTCTGGTTGTCTTCTTTCTCGTTTTGCGATTGCTCGTAGCTGCTGCTGACATGTCGACCAGAACTCCAGCACGCTGCTGTCTAAAGTGACGTCTTCCTGCTGGAAGACGACCCGGTTCCGCTGTATCCAGAGGCTTGTCGCGCAAACGCTGCACATGACCCGCCACATTTTCTTCCACTCCTTCTCATACTGAAGTTCTTCATCCGGATGGTCTCTGCCAAGGTTGGCTTTGACTACCTTCGATAATACCGGCGTTTTTCTACTCGCACATGCTCGCTGGAAATGGTCCAGCTGTTGTAGCCTCCATTGCTCTCCAGTACAGTGACAGACTAGCTTCTGCCAACATGCTTGAGCGCAAGAGCAGTCTCATAGGATGTGTTCTAGTGTCTCCTTTTGTCCGTGGCAGCATTGTAGCTTGCGGCAGCTATTGTCTATCGACCTGCCGTCGTGATAGAGGTTGAGCTGTCGGAGTGCCACCCGATATTTTACCCAAACTTGATACGCCGTAAGCTCATTGTTGTGGGCCCAAAGTTGCTTGGAAGATTGCGCCATGACCGCTGCTTGCCAGGTACTCGTCAGCGCCACTTGTTGCAACCGAGCCACTGGTGCGTCGAGCTTGATGCCTTCCCCTCGATACCGTTTGAAAGCCTGTTTCTTGACTGCAGCGAGAGCGTGCCGATTCGCCGTTGAGTCCGGCACCTGCCATGGGAATCCATGCAGTGTCGGATGGGCTCGAAAAATGATAGTCCCTGCTCGTTCCTGCCGTTGTAGTTGGTGAATGTCTTCCATTGTGGTGACATCCGCCTGAGTCGAGTCACTGATGGCCCAGTGAATCCCGTTCGGCTGCTGTTTTAGCTCGAACTGTGACTTCGGTGTATCAGTGACCTGGATTGCTCGAATCCTGTGCCTGTTCAGTATGATCCACTTGTAGTCGTTCTGGAGTTCTGGGGGGGGTGCCTTATTGTTGCCTCTGTTCCGACCCGCACTGTGGTGCCTACCTTCAGGGGCGTGATGCTGCAGAGGATGGCTATGCCCCACCGGCGTAGTTTCGGTTGGAGATGGCTTGTTGCTGACGAGAATGGGATGGTCATCGTATACAGATGATCACTCCTTCTCTCAATGTGGAGATCCTCTAACGTACAGCTCTCAATTCGGTTGTATTTCTGCCTCATCAACATTGCTCCTGTTTCATCTACGATGCTTGGGTTGTCGTTCCAGGTGTAGATAGGCCAGAATGCCTCCTCTTCTGGCTGTCTCGAGCGCACTTTCTCTGGGAGAGACCTCTTAAGTTCCACATGCCATTTTCCACTCTCTGTCCAGCTCACTGTAGACGTTGCGACTTCTTTTAGCTCTTGGCGCCACTGAGGAGTGGTGGTTTCTTCGTCTAGCACGGGTGCCAGCCAGCTTCCAATGAGCTGTTGGAGCGTGTTTCCAGGCGTGGCCAGCTTGCTGCCTTGACGGTTTCTGCTGTCCTGCCGTGGGGAGACACCTTTCAGCCAAGGCTGAGTAGCTCCTCTGAATGCCCACGCTCTCCATCCGGCGTAGTAGATATCATGACGTTGGACGAGCCACTGAATTGCGTGCTTCACCCGTTGCGTTTTGCAGGCTATCTCGATGGACGCTAGACCTACTCCTCCGGCTTGTTTCGGTGTGAATAGGAGTCCCGGATTAATTTTGTGCCGGCTTGATTCTGCACTGGTTGAGTGTTGCCAGAGGAACTGTTTTTGAAGATTTCGGAGCTGTGTGGCCGCCCAGGTTGGCATTTCAAATGCCGCCGCAGTGAACAAAATCGAAGGGAGCATGATGACATTGAGCAGGAGGACTCGGTTCTCCATACTATTCGAGATGCGGGCGGCAGTCGCCAATCGTTTTTGCACCGTGCGGATTCGCGCTGCCCAATTCACTTCTGTTAGTGTCCCGGTGCCAACTTGGTATCCGAGGTACCGGACAGTTTGCCCGACGGGTAACACAGGGATCCCGTGTATGCTTTCAATCTCGATTGCGGTATTGAGAAAGATTACTTTGCTTTTGGTCGGTTGTACTTGGAGCCCGGAAAGTGCTCCAAATCGCTGCACTATTTCCAGCACTCGCGGCAGTTGACGCGCCTTGCGAAGGAAGACTGTGGAGTCATCCACAAATGCTGAGAACTTGTGTGCTTGCCCGGAGGTTCCGAATACTTGGATTCCTTCTGTCTGTTCGTCTTGCTGGATTGCTAACGCGAGTACTTCTGCTGCGAGAATAAACAGTAGGGGTGCCAATGGGCATCCTTGACGAATGCCCGAGACGACCTCTTGTGGGTCGGATAGCTCTCCATTTACAAGAAATCTAGCCGTTGTACATTCGTGCAAGTTCCGTAGCATCCGCACAAACTCCGGCGAAAATCTAAACCGAATGAGTACGACAAACAAAAATTCCCGTGCGACCGTGTCGTAGGCTTTCCATAAATCCAACAGGAGAATTACTCGACTCAGAGCTGCGGCGAGCTCGGGTTTGGCTGTTGCTGTGGCAAGTATTGCGAGCATCATCATGACCGTTTTCATCATTTGACGGCCATGGACAAGTCCTTGCTGCGATGATTCGATCGGTTTTCCTAGGACGCGTTGAGCCCGGGTTGCCATGACTTTGGTTACAATTTTGTACCCAGTCTGAAGCAGCGAAATTGGCCTGAAATCCATGGCGTCGTCCGAATCCCCTTTCTTCTTTAGACGAATGATCAGTGCCTCGAGGAAGGATTGTGGCGGGTCTCCTCCTTTGAGTAATTCATTGCTGATTGCCGTAAGAGCTGGGACAAAGATGAACTGCGTGTCCTTGAAGAAATCGTTGTTAAGCCCATCGGGGCCGGCCGCTTTATGCCTGTTGAGGGCCGCTATCGCATCTCGAACTTCTTGTTCTGCCACCGGTTCCATCAGGATATTATTATCAGTGTGCGACAGCTTTCTGTTCTCCGGGATCGTCACAAATTTGTCGAATTCACGTTCAAGGTTAGCGTCCGGTACAGTACTATGAATTTTGCCCAATATCGGGGTCCATTCGCTTGAGAACTTGGTCGCTAGAGACATCTCGCGCTCAAAGCCGGCTCCATGAATGTGCCGGATGCTGGCTATGGTTTGATCACGCTCCCAGTTAGACGCTCGCTTGAAATCCCAGCGCAGACGGTCCGCCGTTCTTTCTAGTCGTTGGCCTAGACGGAGGAGATGTTCTGCTCTCCTCTCCTCCATCGTGACGTCGAGTAGCGCTTTCCTCGTTAACAGGTGCACACGGCTTTGGGCGTTCAGTTTGTGCTTGAACGTTTTCATGCGCTTCTTTTCTTGCTTGGTGAGTCGGCTAATGCAGAGTCCGCACTTTTGTACCGTGCTGTCCCAGGTGTGAGTCGTCTCCTGTCGGCCGATACCTTCTTCCACTAAGGCGTCAAGTAGCTCCTCCTGTACTCTAGTCTGTTGAAACGTCCGTATTGCATATACGAGGCCCCTTCTCTTGGATTTAGCGACTTGGTGAGGCTGCGCTCCTGCCAAATGTAATATCACACGCTGATGGTCGGATGGGGTGGTGGGTTCAAGGACCGAGAGCCATTGCACCTTGGATGTCCATGAGTTCGGTACGTAAAGCCGGTCAATTCGACTCGCCGCTTCTGGACCCCAGTAGGTAAAGTACTCCGTATTTACCAATTTGTCCGCTCCATCATCCAGTTGCCCTGCCAATGTGCATGCATCCTCTAATTGTAGCTGACCGAGCAGAGCTGGTAACGCTGCACTTTCGGCTCGGCCCGTCCGATGTCCTCCCAGTCTGTCGAGGACCGGACTGAGAACGCAGTTGAAGTCCCCAGCCAAAAGGATCTCTCTGTCCTCCCATGGCCACGCTTGTAGAGTAGTGAAGAACTGCTCGCGGTCCTGGTGACCATTCGGGGCGTATACGTTAACCAGAGCTCGGTCTCTCAGCTTGATAGCTATGACGCGTCGAGTCCATTGATCTGGAAGCCAAGGTGAAACTTGATCCACTACACTGGGGTGAAGAAGAATTGCAACTCCCCCAGTTTTAGTGTCATCAATACTCCAATATGATAACTGCTTGCCGTCCGGATGGTGCTGCAAACCCCACAATCGTTTCCACTCAGCTTGCAATCTTTCAACTTATGCTTGGGTGCTCACGTGTGTTTCCTGAATCATCCAAGCTACGGGAATTTCCTTACGGGGAGCTCGCCTCCACGCTTCCAACCAGCGCATTCTGTTCTCAGCTACGAATCCGCGGACATTCTGGGTCTCCAACCTCCACTGGTTGTTGTATCCGGTCCGGCGCCGGCGTTTTCGTTCAATTTTTTCTTGGTCTTGCATATGCATATGACGCCCGTAGACGTCGCCTGTAGCCTTATTGTCCATACGCTGTGGAGCTGCGGCAGGTAGCTCGTGGCTACCTTTCATGATCTTGATCCCACTCCCCTCCGCCGCGTTCGACCGCGTCGGAGAAGAAGCGTGCTACTATTCCCCAATCAACATTTCTGCGCGATGCTGAATAAGCCTCTCGGTAGTGAACGTTCACTTCCAGCGCACGGAGGTGCCGCTGCAGCCTGGAGACGGTGCCGTTGTCCGGTTCCTCCTCCGTTCCAGTCAGCACTCGCATATCCTTCT